ACGCTGGGGTGTTGGTCAGGGAGGACAAGGGAGGGGCTGGTGTGCAGGGGCAGGCTGTGGGCTGGGGTGGGCGGGCGGGGTGGGGGCAGAGGTGGAGGTTTGGGGGGTGGAACCCCCCAGTGATGGAGGGTGCGGCCCAGAGTGCGTGACGCCAGGGTTTGACTGGCACTTGCGCTGTGGGGATGGAACCAGCACGCGCTTGACTTCAGGGCATGTACAGCATCATCATTGTGAACACTGTGAACAGCGTGCATAGCCTGCACAGCTGGAAGTCCTGCACCACGCCCGCATCCTCGCCAGCGCCCCCACACTCTCGCCACCGCACCCACGCCCCTGGCACCACGCCCAGCGCCCCCGGCACCGCGGCCCACCAGCATGGTCCTCCAGCCCAGCGACTTCTTTGACCGCAGGATGTCGCCGTAGATGTGGTCACCAATGTACAGGCACTGCAGCAGCAGCGCGGTGGGGGGACGCGACATGCAGGGCGCAGGTTGGTTTGGCAGCGCAAAAAGGGAAGGGGTGCGGAGGGGCGCGCCTCAGCGCGTCGCATCATGACCCTGCCCACTGCCCAGCACAGCCCATGTCCGGTGTACGCGCGCGCGGTAACTGACCTGTGTGCCGCTTGACACGCCCAGCATCTTGTGCAGGTCGATGTAGTTGCCACCCTGCGGTCGTGGGTGACGAAGAGGGTGGGGTCAGGCCCCACAGGGAGTCCAACATCGTTCCGTCCCTCTCTCTCTCTCTCTCACACACACACACTCACATACACATGCCGTCATGCTTACACGCACTTCTCTCCTCCAAATCTCTCACACCCACGCGCCCACCTGGAACACCAGGGCCTTGTCGCCCTCCTGCAGGTCCAACACACTGGCGGTGCTGCCCAGCTGCAGCCAACAGGAGGGTGACAGGGGGAACGTGGGCGAGAAGGTCAGCACCTCGGCAGCAAACTCTGCCACTCGTGCCTCGCATCTTGAGTGCCAAAGACGGCGTGTCATGCCGGCTGCCTGCGGGCCGTCGACCTCGACGATTCCCTTGGGTGTGGCTGCCGCCCTGCTCCTCCTTCAAACACACCACTTTCAAAGCGGACACGTGCGCTGGCTGTGCAGCTTGCTTGCGAGCCTAGTGTGAATGAACGCAGAGGCGGCCGCAGCCACCCGGTCCTGTACACAACATACAGCCCGCGCCCCGCTCACGTTCTCTGCTGGCAGGTCCTCCGAGCCGATGGGGATGATGGGCGCGCCGCCATCGGTGTTGCGCAGCGCGCCGTCCGCGGGGTCCACCGAAAACAGGGGGCGGCGCTCAGAGAAGAACCCCGGCTGCCACACGAGGAGGCGGGGGGAGGGTGCCGCGTACAAGGTTTCGGTGGCGGGCTCGTTGCGAGCGGGGTCGGCGTGATAGGTAAAAAACGGAGCGCGTTGGCGTAGAGGAGGGACTCGAAGGCCCTGTGCATCTTGAGGCCAACAATGCGCAAGTGCCACCAGGCCCGCGGGCCGATGGCACGCGGGCCCCGCAAGCCCCACCTTGGCGCATCCGACGATCACGACGTCAAACAGCTGCAGCCAGTCGTCGTTCTTCTCGCGCCCCACGCGGCCACTGAGGGGTCGCGCGCGGAAGGGGGCGGGAATGCAGGCGCGCACAGGTGCAGGGCGTGCGCTTTATTAGCAGAGGGGACCATCAGACGCACTGTGCTGCACGCGCCACGACAAGCCTCAGCTAAAGCTTTCGTAAGCAAGAGGGCCAGGTTGCAGCACACAGGGAGCTTTGGGCGCGAAGGCGATACGCCTGCACCGCATGGGCAGCCGAGAGCAAGCTGGCCCGTTCGCTTCCATCTCATGCCACGCAGAACTACAAGCTGCTGTCCCCTATCTCCCATCACCGCCCACCCTACTCATACATGCCATCAACCACACACGAAGTGCTGCAACCCCACCTGCACAGGTAGTTCATAACCACGTGCGTGTAGTCCCAGAGGGAGTTTGTGGCCAGGAACAGCTTGCGGCCGCTGCGCTTGTACATGCGCAGCATGGGAACCAGGTGGGGGTCCTGAAGGG